GGGTTGCTGTGGGTTGGAGCTGGCCCGCTGGCCCCGACAAGTGTTCCTGTGTTGACCTGAGAAATACCCGGTGGTTCTCTCAGCACAGGCTCGGTGAAGAATGCATCCCCTTGGCCTCGATGCTGTTGCTGCGAGGGCTTGTTTTTATTTCCTCTTAATCTTGAGTTTCGATGTGTGCGGGGTTAGGATGACAAGTATGCCCTGCCCCGCAATCCCTAAGTGCAGTGACCCACCAGGAGGGTGGTTCCCAGGCAGATGCCGCCGAGGCTGGTTGAGCAGTGGAGCACCTGAAAGTTGTTTCTGGTGCGAGGATCGTATTTTCTGCAGTGTGTTACCCTTTGAAGCTGCTGAAGCTAGCATCAAATGCCCTTTCTACTCATCCTGGCTTGAAGATGCCGTTTTTCTTAGTACTGTTTTTTAACCCACCCGAACACAACCACACGTGGAGGACCACTGGCCGCTATGACACGGTGTTCTTTGTGCCTGAACCCCAAATCTATCCCTGCCCCACCAGGCTCTGGGGATGGAGGCCCCGAGGGAGCTTGGCAATGACGTTGTGGCTCACCAAGCTGGTGGCTCTTGTCACCTGCTGACCTTGAGGCCCTTGACTGGCTATAGAGCACACCAGAGCTTGAGGTTATGGGACAGCCGCCCAGTCATGGCTTCTGAGGCCAGGCTACTTCTGAGGGAGCGCTCCACACCCCCCAGGGCAGTCCTACCCCATCTTCCTTCAGTGCCCTCTTCTCTGTACCCACAGAATTTTGTTGGCCCATGCCGGCCCTTTAGCCATTACTATGTCTGTGTCCCTGTACAGGCATATGGACAAAGGACCCCATGGCAGTTACATCGTCTGTCAACTTGTGAAGGGGTGGAGCCTAGCATGTCAATCAGGTCACAGCCAATGAGGCCTCTGTGTGGGCAGGGCCTTCTCCGGAGGATTCTGGGAACTCCTGTCTTCCTCCCTGGAGGCGGGACACACACACTCTACATTCCTGTTGATAAGCCAGATGGAGCTACGCTGATGGAAGCCAGGGCCTTGGAGCTGGAGGAGCCACGTGGAGACCCATGGCAGTGTTGAGATGCTTCTACCACTGGATCCACAAGGCTTTCCACCCACTGGCCTGTGATCTTCTTGCATTTGACGTCATTGCATATGTTGTGTGAGTT